GAAGATGAGGTCATCTGCATGATAAGACCCCTTGCTCTTCCCCCTAAGATGAACAATCATTTTCTTTTGCTAGTAACTTTCTTGCCCCACCCTCCTATAAAAACCTTCCTTTTTTTTTTTTTATATAGCACCTCAGAGCTTCCCCTCTACTTGCTAGACGGAACGCTGACCAATTCAGAAATCACTTGATATAGCCAGTTAAATCTTTAAAAAATAAAAAAATTTTTAAAAAAAGGAAGGAAAGGAGAAATACTCTCAAAGCACTGAAGCTAAAACCCTGGATTCTTTCTTGATGTATCTCTCCTTGCTGCCTTCCCACAGCCAATCACCAACTGAATCTCTTAGTTGTCTCTCAAATTTGCCCTCGCCTCCTTAGCACTACTCCCAGGTCCTAATCCAGGTCCTTATCACGACTTGCCTGGACCATTGCAAATCTCCAAACTGATTCATGACCCTGACCTTAACTCTTAGTTAGATGAATTTCCCCCCACTCTTCATTTGCTGTTGCCTTTCCTATTTTCTTGGGCCAGGGGTTTTACACCATTTCAAACTCTGTTACATAGCAATAGATAACCGATACACAGGCAAGGTATCAGCATAAAGCAGGAAGTGGATAAATAGCAGGATGGAAGGGAGAAGTCAATAGAGGGCAGATTGCAGAGAGCCTGAAAGCTGTTCAGAAACTTTATCCTCTAGTGACTAGAAACTACTGAGGGCTCAGTACTTTGTAAAGAATATTATGGCCATAGTGTGAGGATGGATTTAAATGAAAAGAGAAAAAGCACAGACACCAGTTAATAGGCTTTCCAGTAATGCAGAATTAAGACGAGGGAGCCTAAACCAGGTAAAGGCAATAGTAAAGGTGTGGACAAGGCAGACTTAAAAATAATTAGAAGGTAAAATTAGCAGGACCTTGTGAGCGATGAGATATTATATGCTGAAACAGAACAGAATCTAGGATGATTCCCAGATCTGACTTAGATGGCTGGGCAGATGGTGGTATCACTAACTAAGATCTCCCACTGATGTAGGAAAAGATGTTAGGGTTTGAAGCCGATGGTCAAGAAAGAATTCTTGAGACCATCTTTGGTGCAAAATGGTGGTTTTATTAAAGCATGCGGACAGGACCCGTAGGCAGAAAGGGCGGCACCGGGGTCGTGAGGAGCGGCCCATTATATACTTTCAAGTTGGGAGGGGGGTAGGGATAGTTTAAGTCTCTAAGGAATTTTGGAAGCAAGGTTTCCAGGACCTTGAGGGGCTAGCTATTGTTGGGAAAAGGTCATTTATGACTGTCTAATAAAACCTGAGTTCATGAGACCCTTCAGATGTGTATGGGTGGGTCATATGCTTGGGGGATGATTGTCAACATGTATCTTGGGGGGGCTAGAGATAAAGGAAGTTTCCAAAGGAATTTTTATAAGTTAAAGTAGGCTTATAGGATCCTAGGGGCTGGACTAAGATTGTCTTTTGCCCTTAGCAAAGTATTAACATCGAGGCAGTTGAGTCCCTAGAGGAATGTCACTCTGCCTGTGTCAAGGACTTGTCAATAGGCTACAGATAGTAAGGAAATTGAATAATTTTTCTTCTGCCTTTATTTCCCACATCACCACTACTCAATTTTGCCATGCATTTAACTAGCATTAGTGCTTAACAGGTGTGTGTGTGTGTGTGTGTGTGTGTGTGTGTGTGTGTCCATGCAGTCGAGTATGTGAAGGGAGGAGTGGAGCATCTAAGAAACTGAAAATCAACACTTCTGGTAATCACATAGCAATGTTCCCAACAGAACAGTGACAACGTTTCTACATGCCCAAGGCCACACTGCAGCTGCAAAATGACTGACAGTCCTTTCTTCTGGGCAGTTACTGCTTTCTTAGCAATGTCTCCCCAGTCCCACGGTGTTACTCCCACCTCCGGAACCAAGACTGCTGCAAGTCAGTAGCTGAACTGCCTTGAACGCCCCCCACCCCCATTCCACTGATCCCTCCTTTGCCTCACTCAGCAGAAGGCCAAACCTTTCAGAAGGTTTGTCCTATGTCCCCAGTCCCTTGGGTATATGTCCTCCTGTGCTGCAGTTAAGCGAATAAAACTCATTTTGCATCACTCCAAGAGAAGTTAGAGAGATCATAAAATCGATAGAGAGAAAATAAAGGTAAGCCTAGAGGAGAGCTGAGGGCTCTATATATTATTCTGTGACAAGAAAGCAAGACTCTGCCACAATTTCTGAATGTACAACATTGATTATGAAAATTTTCAAATTTTCAGAAAGGGTGAAACAATTTTACAGTATATACCCCTACTGAAATTCTATTATCATTCAACTGGTATTGATTTAATGCCTACTATCTGCCTGGAGCTATGCCTACCTGTAAAGACATAAAAAGCAGGGTGAAGTTAGGGAACAAGGGAGGGTTTGATTTGGCAGGAGCACAGAGTTTGTGAGGGGGTCATGTGACTTTGGTCTGTGCAGTTATGTTGGAGTCACATGGAGGACACTGCATTTCATGGCAGGAAGTTTATACTTCATACTGGTTGCAATCAGGAGCCATTGAAGGCATTTAAGGAGGGGAGTGTCTTGTGCTTTAGAAGGCTCATTTCCAGCATCAGTATTAGGCTGGAGTGGAGAGGACCTGACATCTGAGGGCTAAGTTAGGTGACTTTGCAAATGTCCTGGGACAAGTAAAGGTTAAACTGTGAACAGAACAGATTGCAGATACAGAAAAAGGAGAATCGATCTCTTTGGGGCTGGGTTACCTACTCCTCCAAAGAACCATACAGTTACACAAAGATATGTCCAGTGGTCTTTCTGAAAGTAACGGAATATGGAGTCCCAAAAGAGAAAGGAGGAAGGGCTAGCCTGGGATGCCTACATAAATATTTTGATCTGTAAATAACCCTAACAGTTTAAAATGAACCACTAATTAGAATCAGAATATGGAGAAAAGGTTAAGAGGTAAGTCCCAAGGACAGTGGAAAGATAAGATGCTTAGAATTTGCTCTTTCAGGCCAATAGATCAAACGACCTAAAGAGTTATCCCCTCCCCTCCCCAGCTTACTTCCCAGGTTCCGGTTTAAAGCAATAAAAGAAAAAACATGTGATTTCATGTACAAGGCTACTCCTGCAATATCTCTGAGGGAGAGAAATCTCAATACTCTGGTTTCAGTTCAGTTATGCTTAGTAGTTGTGTTTTATGATGAAAGTACCTGATCACTGTCCTGTGAACTGAGTCCATTATTGCTTAAATCTTTGAACTTGCAAATATATAGCATAAAAGTTTAAACTCTGTTCCTATTTTTGGCCAAGGAACAGTTCTAGCATTCTGCCCAGCTTATCCTCTTCCAAATCTATGTAGATATGAATGAGTCATTCTTCCAAAGGTACCTTTCAAATTATGAGAAACTTACCTACTTTAGTTCTTTTAAATGTTCTTAGTTCAGCCCATGAAAACCCCACATTATTAAAGCCCTGGGAATGCTAAACTGAAATAATCGCATTTGCTCTTTAAAATGAACTATACTTCTTATTAAGAATGGGTCATTGCCTATTTACCTTGGGAATTTCAGTGCTAATAAATGGATATCTGATGTTATCTGAGGCAGTAATTAAGCTCTTCTCTATCTTACTTCAGTGCATACCAGTATTGTATTCAACACTCAGTCTTTCCTCTGACACATCATATGCCTTCTAAAACAAAAAACAAAGTCATCAACAAAATACTGTCATGCTGTTTGCTTCTTGTTTTTATTTTCTCAAGGGGTATGAACTGGTAAGTCCTTCGGACTTGCTTAACACTCCTCTAAGTTACTTAAACTACCTGTCAGTCAAAACCCACTTACTTCTCAGGCTATAAAATCAGTCTTGGAGAACCCCACTATGAATAACTGGTTTATAAACTAGACTCATATATCTTGCGGGACCAATTATGCCTTTCCAAAAAACCCAACTCCTAAAAAAAAAGAATGAAACAGCTTCTTGCTAAGAACACTTACATTACATTATAAAGGGTTTCCCCGGGACTTAGAGGAGCCTGGAGTACAAATCTAGAAAGCCCAATCGGCCAAAGGGTGTTGACAACTGTACAGACTTTCACACGCCAACAAAGCCAGTGTGATCTACTTCCAAAAGTGTAAAAATTTCTATTTTGAACAACTTTCTTAAAAGCCGTTTTTCAAATTAGCAAAATACATTCTAGTTGGATTTTTTTTTCTTCCTTACATCTGTTTTTACTCATCTCACACCAAAAATTGTAAAAAGTTAGTTGTACATTTAAGGGGAGGAGAAAAGATAAGTGTCTTTAAAATGGGGAGACTGGGGCTTAGTAAACCTAAAAAATGTGCTCAAAGTGACCGACTAGCAAAATGCATTGCTGGGATTTGAATCCATAAAGATAACCAAAGCCTATTCTTTTCCCATGAGACCTAGCTGACCTAAAAGGTATTGGATGCTTCCATTTGTCTCTAGGGTTCCCAATGGCTCCTAGAAACTTCCCTGCGAGCGCTAAATCCACTTGGCAGGGAGCTGCCTCCAGCTATGCTGTGCCCACCACCACCCACCCCTCCCGCTTTCTCCTAGTCCTATATTCCAGGTGTTTCTTCTGTGCTTTCTTTCCCTCTATCAGGCCAAATCTCCTGTGGGGCGCTCAAATCGGAGGCATTTCTCGCTTCTACTTTTCCACAGCACCCACAAAATCAAAACATCCCAAAGAGACATGTTGAGGGAGTCAGGGGATGTGACCCCACCTTGCACCAAGAGTAACGGGGTACCCCACAGCCCCGGTGCGACTGCCTCGGATTCTGCCAGGAGCCTTCGGGAATGTTCCCCGGGCCAGGCGCACCCAGAGCCTAGTGCCAAGCATCCCCAGTTCCTCAACGTGGAAACTCCGAGCCGGCCAACACGGTGCTACCTCCCTCCTTGCGCACACAGCTCCTGAGACACCCGCCCGGAGCTCCCCGCGTCCCGGGACCAGGGCGAGGGAGGACCCGGCGCGCAGCGTTGCACTCACCCGAGCCCGTCGGTCCGCGCAGCGGTGGCCCAGGGGGTCAGAAGTCCTGCAGCCCTGCCCCTCGCCCCTGCCGGTCGCGACTACCCTGCAGGACGCCGGCGGCTGAGCGCTCCTCTCGGCGGCCCACGTGACCTAGACCTTTGGCGCCAAAGGTAGGTCTTCACCTGCCCTCCCCGTGACCTGGCCGCACCCGGGCAAGCCCTCCATCCTGGGAGAAGCCGGGACCCCCCGGAGTGGAATCCTGAAAAGTAACAGAGAAAGGTAGGCTGCGGTGCAGCTCTGCTTTGTTTGTTCCTTTGTGTGTTTTGATTTTCCTTCCCACTTTTTTAAAGCTGCTATCAGAATTTAAACATTGTATTTAAAAAAATCATTCCCCACACGGGTGCTTGCAATCCTGGTGCTTGCAAGCCCTGTGTTTGCAAGCCCTGTGTTTGCATCTGGAACCCGAGGGGTGTTTTACTGCCGCTGTTTAGGAAGCCCACTTGTATTCACCCAAAGTCCACGTTCCCGTCGCAGTAATCCTGAGAGCTCAGCAAGCGCCAGTACTGTGTCAGGTGCTTTCTCTGCAGGAGTGCCTGGGAATCTTACCGCAATCTGATAGGTTCTGTACTAAGATTATCCCCATTCTGCAGGTGGGGAAACTGAGACTTAGAAAGGTTAAGTGTCCCGTTCAGGGTCACATCTCTTGTAAGTGACCTCAGTAGGTATTTTTAACCTCCCTCAGGTCCTGGGCACTGAGCCAGACACTGAGGGGAAGACAGGGTCTAAAAAGATAGGGAGATTACAAGAGCAAGGTAAGACAAAATACAGGAATGTCATCATTCCCACATCGGAATGTCCCCAAATGCCCTGTGGTTCAGAGATGGTTATTTAGAAGCACCCCAGGCAGGCCACCTGGCTTGGCATTCTGGCTCTGCTACTTAGTTACTAGCTCTGAGCCATTATTCTTCACAAAGACGATCAAACAGGACCACCCTGCTCCTTTGTGAGGTGACTTGGCCCCTCTTCCCATCAAGAGGTAGAGTCTGTTTTCCAGCATCCCGTTGGATCAGGGCTGGCTTTGTGACTGGTTCTGGCCATTAGAATGGGGGCAAATGCTGGTTGCTTCCCAGAAATCAAAAGGCCCCGCAGCTTCTGCTTTGAGGCAGCTGCCTCATGACCACCGTGCCAGAAGCCAGTGTGTGTGGCTCCTGAAGAGTGAAAGGTCACATGGAGGACTGAAGCGTTCCAGAGACAGCAGTACCCTCTGAGAGACCAGTAAGAGAAGCCAGAGGGTTCCACCTCAACCTCTCCACTAGTGCATGAGTGAGCCCTGGCAAAAACCAGCAGCAGAATGGCCCAGCAGGTCCCCTGAGCAGGAAAAAAACCTAATTCATTGTTATTTTATTAAGCCGTTTATGTTTTGGGTGGTTTGTTATGCAACTAAGGCTAACTATAGCACTAATTTTGTAAGCTGGAACAGATTACTTAATGTCACCAAGTCTCCGTTTTCTGGAGAAGCAATCTGGGGATCCTGGACACTCAGAACAAGGTTTGGGGAGGTATGGATTTGCAGCAGGAGGTACACAATGGACTTAGTCCCATGGATGCCTCACTCTGTGTAGAGGAGTACAGCAGTGGAGGGCCAAAGGAGGCCTTCTAAACTGTGGGCCTTACTTAGCACAAGGACAGCTACTGGCCAAGGAATACCTTTGCCCAGCATGGAGCCACTTAAATGAAAACCAAATTGAATTTTACAGTAAATAGAAAATGAATCATACTTGAGCATAGGTCTTCAAAAACAGGGTGTCGCCAAAGTTTTACTGCAGTTTTAATAACTTCAGAAGTATTAATGCTGCAACTTACAAAAACATCACTTGAAAGTTTAATTACATTTATTTTACACTTACTCAGTTTTGTGAATTTCAAGTAACACATTTTTCAGTTTTAATTTTTGTTTCATTTCCCGAGTGAAAAATGGCATACATTGATTAAAAGAAAAAAAATTACATCTATTAAAATAACTAAAACTTAGAGTCAGAAGAAGTAAACGTTCAAATGACAGTTTTGTAAGTTTGTGGCATTTATACTTCTGAAGTTATTAAAGCTTAACATTGCACTAACATATTTTGAGTCACCCCATATTTGAGTTTGTGGTGTATCAGGTTTTCTCAAAAAGGAAGAAAGAAGTGGTCTTCTTTGGAAACTTGAAGTCTAGTTGGAGAAAGGAGGCACTTAAGTTGATCCCATAATACAATATGATAAAGGCTGTCACTGGGACCTATAAAAAGTACTGTCCTTACAGAGAACAGGGACCAAGTGACTCTGGCTGAGGAGCCAGGTGACATGAGGTGACATGAAACTGGGCATTAAAAATGAATAGACATTGCAGGGAAAGGGTATAACACAGGCAAAGAATATAACCACGTGTGAATTGATGCTATGTTCTGGGAATGATTGACTTTTTGGGTCTACTGGATGCACTCAGGATGGGTTAGCAGTTGGCTAAAACAGATATACAGAAATCAGGTGGGAAAAGCTTGAATGTCGAGCTACAAAGACTGATGTCATTCCCAGTTAGTAGATTGGGAAAACAATTTTTTTAATGAAATAGGATAGAATAGAATAGAACGGGTATTTTGTTTCCTAGGGCTACTGTAGCAAAATACTAATAACTGGATGGGTATAAACAATAGCAATTTATTGTTTCATGGTTCTGGAGGCCGGAAGTCTGAATTAAGGTGTCTATAGGGCCATGCTTCCTCTGAAACCTGTAAGGGAAGGATTCTTCCCTCTTCCAGCTTCTAGTTGCCCAGGTCCTTTGTGAGTTATGGCAACATAATTCCCATCTCTACCTGTGTCCTCAAGGATGTCCCCATGCCTCTTCACATTATCTTCCTTCGACATGTGTCGGTCTCTGTATCCCAATTTCCCCCTTTTGTGAGAATACGAGTCATATTGGATTAGGACCTACCCTAATGACCTCATTTTAACTTCATTACCTCAGTGAAGACCCTCTTTCCAAATAAGGCCACATTCTGGGGTACCAGGAGTACCAGGAGTGGGGGTGAGGACTTCAATGTATCTTTTTTGGGGGACACAGATCAATCCATGAAAATATAGGAGATAAAATGTTAGAGTAAGTCATGCTTTGTGACACTTTCTGTTTCAGCATACGTGTGTGTGTGTGTGTGTGTGTGTGTGTGTGTGTGTGTGTGTGGTAGGTCATTGTATCAGTTTCCTATTGGTAGCATAACAAATTACCACAGAATTAAAGGCTAAAAGGAACACATTTATTCTCTTATGGTTCTAAAGTCAGGAGTCTAAAATCAAGGGGTCGGCAGGACTGCATTTCTTCTCCAGGCCTTTGGGAAGAATCTGATTCCCTGTCTTTTTCATCTTCTAGAAGCTGCCCACATTCTTTGTCTCCTGGCTGCTTCCTTACATCACTCCAGCCTCTTGCTTCCATCTTCATATCTGCTACTACTCATGCTGATCCTCTAGCTCTCTCTTAGAAGGATTGTTGTAACCACATTTGTTCCACCAGATAATCCAGGATAATCTTGTCATCTTAAAGTCCTTAATTTAGTCATATCTGCGAAGTTCCTGTTGCCGTGCAAGGTAACGTATTCATAGGTTCTGGAGGTTAGGATGTGGACATCTTTGGGGGGCAGGCATTAGTCAGCAGTCTACACACTACAACAGTCATAGTGCAAACCATATTTATTACTATGAGATATGGTCAAAATAGCTTGAAAGCCACTACACCAGGGGCGCCTGGGTGGCTCAGATGGTTAAGCGTCTGCCTTAGGCTCAGGTCACGATCCCAGGGTCTTGGATCGAGCCCCACATTAAGCTCTTGGCTCAGCAGGGAGTCTGCTTCTCTCTCTCCCTCTGCCTCTCCCCCTGCTCATGCTCTCTCTCTCTCTCTCTCTGTGTCTCAAATGAATAAATAAAATCTTTAAAAAAAAAAGCCACTACACTGGAAGTCTGAATTTTTTGGGTTAAGATATGTTGCTTATTTTCTTAGATGAGCATAATACATGATCATTAGAGAAATATGAGGCTATACAAAAAGATCAGATAAAATTTTTGATGTGATTCCTCAGAGATAACCACATGATGTATTTTTGTCTAATCTTTTATCTATACAAATATATGTTCTACACAAAAGATGGAATCATATTATATGGAGTTATTTATCCTGCTTTTAGCAGTTAGCATTAGATCCTAATTATTTTCACATGTTGTCAATTCAAAACCATTAATGGCTATATAATGTTCAATCCTATGAATCTACCATAATTTATTCAACCATTTCCAGCATCCGGTCATTTGAGTTGCTTCCAATTTTTCCTTATGATTAATTCACTAAGAAATATTCTCATATAAATAATTATGTGCATCTAATTATTTCCTTAGCAGAAAAATCTGGAAAGCAGAATTACTGAGTCAGAGGGTCTTCGGAAGGTTATCCAAGTTCAAAGAAGAGAACTCTGTTGGAAAAGTAAAGTACACGGGGCAGGGGTGTGGATGGAAGTGACAGCCACGGGAGGAGCCGAGTTGGAAGAGTATAGTACAAAGTACAAATAATCTCTGCAAAAGATGATGAACTCTTGGGCCAAACTGTGTGTGGTAGTCCCTGTGTGAGTTTCCTAGAACTGCCATAACAAGTCGTCACAGACTGGGTGGCTTAAGACAACACACATGTATTCTCTCACAGGTCTGGAGAAGTCTGAAATCAAGCTGTTGGCAGAGCTGCTCTCCTTCCAGGGGTTCTGCGGGAGAATTTTTTGCCTCTTCCAGTTCCTGGGAGTCCTCAATGTTCCTTGCCTTGTAGCTGCATTTCTCCATTGTCTGTCTCCATCTCTCCGTGGCTTTTTTCCTCTGTGTTTTTGTATGTTCTCTCCTTTTCTTTTCTTTTTTTTTTTTTAACGATTTACTTATTTATTTGAGGAGGGGGGAGAGGGGCAGAAGGAGAGGGAGAGCCTTAGGGTTCAATCTCATGACCCTGAAATCATGACCTGAGCCAAAACCAAGGGTCCAGTGCTTAACTGATTGAGCCCCACAGGTGCCCTGTCCTCTCCTTTTCTTATAAGGATACCAGTCACTGGATTTAGAGCCCATCCTAATCCAGTATGACCTCATCTTAATTTGTTACATCTGCAAAGACCCTCTTTCCAAATAAGGTCACAGTCTGAGGTTCTGGGTGGACATGAATTTTGAAGGGGACTTCAGCCCACTAGAATCCCTGTGGAAAGAAGGATATAACTGTGAGAGATATTTAGATGCACTGAGAGGATATGGGGACAGCTAAACATGGGATGGGCAAAAATGATGAGTCTATATATTTTCATTAAATAATACCCTGTTTTTCTTAACATCCATTCTTCAGTGGACTTTGGCATCTGAAGAGGCACATCTGGTGAACCTATGCACAAATTCTGTTCGGAAGCCACCCTGCAACAGAGGAGATCATCTGTGCTTCCAGCCAGACTGTGCAGGTACAATTGTCAACAGCATGGGAGAGATATTTTAATATGTGTCTTTCCTTAGAGACAAATACATCCCTTCTCTTCAATGCTCACTAGCTTATCTTCGCATAGTTGGCTAAATGTTTCTAATACTTTGAATAATTTTACATTTCTCCTCAAATGACCATAATTGTAATCAACTTAACAGTTGAAGAATCAAAATATAAAACTTGCAGAGGAGAATCAAACTGCTGAAAATAGCATTTTTAGCCTCTTTTTTGTATTGAGTACTCAATAGTGGGCAAAAGAAAGGCCTTGCAAAGAAATTGGTTAAACCTTCTTCTCTGATTGGCTTTTCTGAAAACAAAGTTTTAAAGTTGTGAGGTTGGTCAGATGAATGGATAAAGAAGGTATGGTATATATATACCATGGAATATTACTCAGCCATCAAAAAATGAAATCTTGCCATTTGCAACGGTATGGATGGAACTAGAAGGTGTTATGCTAAGCAAAATAAGTCAATCAGAGAAAGACAAGTATATGATTTCACTCATATGTCGAATTTAAGAAACAAAACAGAGGATCATAGGCGAAGGGAAGGAAAAAAATAAGATGAAATCAGAGAAGGAGACAAACCACAAGAGACTCTTAATCATAAGAAACAAACTGAGGGTTGCTGGAGGGGAGGTGGTGGGGGTATGGGGTAATTGGGTGATGGGCATTAACGAGGGCACTTGACATAATGAGCACTGGGTGTTACATGCAACTGATGAATCACTAAATTCTACTCCTGAAACTAATAATACACTATATGTTAACTAAATTGAATTTAAATAAAAATTTTTTAAAAAGTCAGTTGCCTTATGACCACTTTGCCTAAGCATGATGTAATGACCACTGGGTGTAATATAAGACTGATGAATCACTGACCTCTACCTCTGAAACTAATATTCTATGTTAATTAATTGAATTTAAATATATATATTAAAAAACAAACAAACAAAAAGTTGTCAGGTTGGGGTGCCTGGCTGGCTCAGTCAGTAGAGCATGTGGCTCTTGATCTCGGGGTTGTGAAATCAAGCCCCATGTTGGGTGTAGAGATTACTTAAAAATAAAATCTTAAAAAAATAATAAAATAAAATGTCTTTGAACTTAAAGTAGTTAAAAAAAAAAGAAAAAATTGTGAGGTTGTTCAGTCCAGGTGATTTCAGGGTTCTCCCAAGCCCTCGTGTTCTCTGCACCCACATATTCTGGGGAGACACTCAGTTTGTTAAGCCCTAAATGGTTTAGAACATGAGTCGGACCTGGGTTCAAATCTAGAACCTGCCATCTGGTGACCTCAGGCAAGTGACTTCATCTCGGTTTTCTTATCCATACATGGCAAAACTAGTATTAGCTCCCTCACAGTATTATTAAGAGGGTGAAATGAGATAGGGTACATAAGTACTTGTCAAACAGAATGGGCTCAATAAATGGTAGCTGTAACGATAATAATGAGGATCACGCAGGCTCTGACTGTCATTCTTTTCAACTGTCTAACCCAAGATACTGAATTGTATTCTCTCCCCCGCTGTTTTTCAGTGTATCTGGACACCACAGAAAAGTGTGCCCCTCCCTGACCTATGGCCAGAGCTTTGCAGCGTGCCTTATATTCCAATTAAGAAGACACAGAGAGGAGCCTGTTTACACGTCTCCAGCAGGTAAATACAATTCCAGCTGTCTAGCATCAGAGCTTTGATTTCACATTTGTAGCTGCTGCCACCAAGATAAATGTGGACCTGTAATGAAAACAAGGGGAATTGATTAATCTTGTAGACAACCACACCTCTCTTGCAAGTGTCTGTGTCTCTCCCCTGCACTTGTCAAGGCTTCTGCCATTGTTCCTTTTAAGTGTTGTTACCTCTCTTCGACAGGCACCTCATGGCTTTGAAAACATAGCTCAGGGGCGCACCAGAAAGAGGAATGTCACAGCCTGCACAGTGTATTAACTTGTTCAATAAACCATAAACCACATTGCCTAAGAAAAGAAGCTAGATATGTCACATTCACAAACTCGCAGAAAAGTCGTTGTGCTATTAAAAAGAAGAGGAGAAGAGATGCAGCTGATATGACCCCACAGCTGTTCTGCACCTTGGCCATGGCCTTGAGAAGTAGACCCAGAGGGTGGTGATCCTGCTGTAGGACACAGGTGCATACTCTGAAAACTTAGGGAAGCGCTTCAGTCTCCTTACGCTTAGTAAGGAAGGGCCACCTCCTAAGACTAGCCACAGGTTACAGACTCAGGGAAGTTGTGGCTAATTACATGGTAATTATTTATAATAAGTGCTTTTGCTCCCAGCATGATTATCCTCCCCTGGGTTGCTTGCCTCCTTGTGTCTGGTTTATGTAGGGAAACAATGTCCAAATTAATCTAAGTCTTTTGTAAGTGAATCAATCTATTCTCTGATGATCCAGCACCCTTTGGCAGCAGGTGTTAAGCCTTTCTAACAAAAGACATATTTTCCATTTCCCTTTGGCTATGCTGAAAGCCAGGCACACAAGACTTTGGTGGATTAAGGATGAATTATGGGATTAATATAGACTTGGCCGCTAAGGACAGTAGAGTTAGCCCTGTGTAAAGCCGTGAGAAATAATCACACTGAACCTTTGCAGGGCTTCATGGTTTGCCTAGCACTTTTTCCCCCTATATATCATATCTTTAATTTGCACAGCAGTCCTGAAGAGTATATATTGATATTATGATGAACCTGCCCGTGTACTCAGTACAATATCTGATTAAGGGCACAGCGAGGCTTTAGGAGTAGACTGGTAGGGATTTGAATTCCGGCTCAACCACTCATTAGCTGTGTGACCTTCACCATGTTAATTAACCTCTCTAAGCCTTATCCTTCTCATATATGGAAAGAGGACAGCCCTACAGGGCTGATCTGAGGACTTAATGAAATTACACGTAGAGCTGTTAGCACAATGCCTGGTCCGTAACAAACAGGCCATTCATTGGTTGAAGGCAAAAAATTTGCAAATGATAAACAGAGATCAAAGGAACTAAGTAGAGGAAATGGCATGTGGCATCTCTTCTTTTTTCTTTTATTCAGTTTTATTTTATTTTCCTCTAATGCAAGGAGTGGTTAGTCCAGGTGCTCTACTTACTAATAAAATATTGTGCCTATGATTCAAAGCAGAGTTGACCTAGAAAAGTGACTTTTCTGTTTATATCTATCTATAGCCTCTTGAGTCTGTCAAGAACTTCAAGAACTAAGTAATCTCACCAAATAAAGGAATACAGATAAAATAGGTGAAGGATAGTCCCTGGTAGGAATACTTAAGCAGTTACCTAAAACCATATGTTGTCTTTTACGCGTGGTGGCTCAGGCTAAACTGCTCAGAACCTCCTGCTTGGCTGACTTCTATGGATTTTAAGGACTCTCCCCTGACTTGGAGATGGCTACACCATAGCGGCACACGGCAGCTGGGGAGACAGGATGCACTGGAGGACCAGCTCCCATCTCTCTTCCTTTTCTTGTCTCTGTCCCTGGCTACCGCCTTTCTCTCAACCTTGGCTTCTTTATCTGAAAATGGAGGCTGTGACGACTCTACTCCTCCATCCACCCTAACCACCCTCCTCGCCCCAGAAGCTGGTGACGCCTAGGCAAGATGAGGGGTGTCAGCGCACGAGGCAGACTACGTGGTGCGTGTTGTGTGTGACACAGAGGTCACCAATGCGATGTAAATTGCCCATGCTTCCTTTTTTTCCCCTCCAGCCTACCCAGAGATCTCGCAGTAAAAAGAGTAGAAAAAGAATGATTCCTTCCCTCTCTTAGAAGAACTCAACACTGAATTCTTCAAGCCTGGGCTTCTTTGTACCAGGATGGTTGGAAGAATTATAACTCCACCTTTCCTCCCTCTGAGCACCCAGTTGTTCATTTTTCTTGGGAAATTTTTGATAAAAAAATGAGCAAACAAAACAAAATACAGTCCATCTTCACTGTTTGTGGATTCTGTATTTGCAAATTTGCTTCCGTGGTTTGGATAACAGGGCCCTCAGAATTCCTCACCCACGTGTCTACAAGCCTGCTTCCAGAGCCTGCATAGATTCTTTCTGCACCTGGGGGTGGGGGTGGGGGTGGCCAAGAGGCATACTTACAGAGCGTGGATGTGCAGCTAGGCTGTGCTGGAGCAGGACAGGCTAAAAGGCGATCTGGCTCAATGCGACCATGTTCCAGCATAGAATTTCAAGGAGTCTCAAAATTCTAAATTCAAATCTGGTTTTCCAGGTTGTTATAATGACATATTTTTCAAGGTAAGAGGGTAGAACATATTTCACGTAATAGTTTATTACCTTGGTTTATAACTTTTAAATATTTAGACACATGGCAGGTGGGCCTCCATTTATACTCTTATCCCAGGCCTCCCGAGGGAAAAGCAGGCTTAGAAAGAGATAAACTTTGGTTGATTTAAGCTCCTAATGTTCAGGGCCTGTTTGTTACCGCATCATAACCTAGCTTATTCTGACTTTTATACGTGGGGAGGAGGTGGTGGGTTTTTCAGTTTCAGAAGCTCTTAAGCCATATGTTCTGGTGTAGGAATGTTAACATGGACGTGAGGGGGGACACAATCCCATGAACAGTCCGGGGAGACTGAGAGCAGTCCTGTGGTCTGCGGTGCACACTGAGTGAGGGATGTCTCTGTAATCTGCCTGGGGCAGGATGCCAAGGGGCAAGTGAGGAGCGTCAGCTGCACTGAGTAAGTGAAGGAAAATAAGGGCAAGGGAAATTGGGAATCCTGAGGCTCGGGCCCCTTCCCATTTATATGTGAGGAATCAGCTCCTCGCAGGGATGTCGGATCTAAATGAGAAAGGGGATCTTTTCTTTCCCTCCTCCCTACCCTCTGAACTGATCGATTTTGGACTTCTCGCCAAACTCAGCAAATATGAGCTCAGATTGGATTCTTTTTCAAAAATACAAAAAGGTATGACATTTCTTATACTCCAAGTATCACAAAATAGTACACACCTGACCAGTATATAAAGTGCTATTGTTATTATCTAAACTTGGTTTATACCATTTCAGAGAAAACAAATACATTTTAATAGCCTAAGAGAAAAAGCAATTATTGAAAAAGTAAATCTCTTTCCAAAGCTAGAAGGAAAAACAAGGACAACAGAAGAGAAAGGAATAAGAAAGATGTTGAGCCTTTACTGTTGGCCAAAAGTCATGCAGAGTATATCACGCGTGTGATCTCGTTTAGACCTCACCATAACCCTAAAGAGTTGTCATTGCATTCTTCCTTCTAGAACAGAAGTACCTGAAAAACAGAGATGTTCAAAATTTGTCCATCGTCAAAGAGCTACTAAGTTTCAGAATCTAGATTCAAACACACCTATCTCATACCAAAACCTTCATTCTTTTCAGAAGCTTCAAATAAAAAATTGGACCGTTGACGTTACCACTCTGCTCCTCTGTTTCCCAATCCTGTCCCTTTGGCAAGGTCAGCAATGGGCAGTACTCCCTCATCTGGGACCAGGAAGGTCGGCTGGCTGGAGGGGACCAGCTGACAAATCTCGTCTTCACGGGGGCTTTCTTATAAGGTGCAGGGCAACTGAAGGGGACAGTTCCTAAGTATCCTCTGTGTCCAGACAGTATTAGGGCAGCCCGTCAAGGTCTGGGCACTGGGTGATGAGCTCTGGACTAAGGGGCCCAGAGGAGGCCACGTGCTCCTATAGAGCACACCAAGCACTTACCTGTTCGCTATTTGTTAGAAGAGTTATTTTTACACTCAACCTTCTTCTTCTCCTCTTAAATCTAAGGAGGCCCAAGGGATAGAACAGCAAAGCATGATGAGATGGAGAAAAGTTTAAATAATGCATGTAAGGTTATTCCTAGACCTCAGAGGAGGGCAATTTGAAAATCATGTATTTACCTTGAGTTTTTCTGACTTCGAGATCTTTTCTATCTTCCCTTCCCCCACTGGACTCATCTGTTTTCCTCCGTTTGTAAATCCTCATGCGGCACGTCACCTTCCTTGCAGATCTGTGGCAAAGTAATCACATCTCAGTGTTAGGTTCCATGTTCTAAAAATGTCAAAACAAATCTAAATGATTAAATGCCATGAATTAAGCTTGTTACTTACCTCTCTAAAATGGATATGAAGGATACATTTTAATTAGAAAATTATAAATCTAAGCTGCTGTACCAAGCCACCTCCAAAATCTGTATGAAGTTTTAACTCCGAAAAAAAAAAAAAAAAAGCTAAATCCTATCTAAAGGCAGCGATCTTGTTAAATAACCAGCTGCATCTCATTTCATTTGGGTTGAAATTTTACCCTGAGCCATGTGAGGGTAAGATATCTCTTATAAAGGTCATCTATGAGAAAACCTTTGAATTTTTTCCCTTTAGATGTCTATGAAGTCTAATTAAATATGCATTTGTTGGTGTGATTTTGGACCAGGGAGCTTTTCGTTAGTATGGAAGTGGCTATTACTCTCCGACATAGCTTACACAGAGCATTACACTAAATTTTCAGATCTTTCTGTTCTGTGTAGCTAAAGACAAAGTCCAAGAAGTCATCATTCTTTACCAAAACTGACAATTGTTTTATGCATCTGGGGATTTGTCCAGAGAACCCTGTTATACGTTTTCAACATTAAAATCCTGTAGCAGCCACTGGCCCCATACGTTTAATTTTAACACAAGAAAGGATGTCGAGCAAACATCAAAACAAAAGCTACCCTTCAAGCTTAATTTTCTTTTTCACACATTTGGCCACCATACCCCCCCTTGGTGTCAGCAGGACATAATCTCACCTACGGAAAGGAAGCCAGCACCCTAACTGTGCTGACAAATTGTAGGGAAGTGAAAGGCTTAATGATTGCTGAATTTTATCTCTTTTTATTTCCAAAAGAAGAATAATGAAGAGGTTTCTTTGCTCCCACTTAATATCCTAATCGCCCATACCTTCAGTTTACACTGCGGCTACCCACACTTCTGCAGGGGAAGCAAAAAAAAAAAAAAAAGAATGAGATGCAACCCCTTCCCTACCCTGCCACACCCATTGGAACCTGTCACTGTCGCATCCTTAATCAACCCCCCAAATTGCTGTGGGATTCTACAGTCCTCCCCCAGTCAGTGCCCAGCCCCTGCTGGTGTAGGGAGCTACACAGCCTGTGGTAAACTGCTCTCCATTATTCCTCTATATTTAGAACTTCTCTAGAGAAGTGGCATTATCTCAGTCACAAAGCTGAAAGCTACTTAAAGTTAGTTTTTCACAGTTGTTTATCCACAGTGTGCTTGCTTCATGCACCATTCATTCACCTTGCTTAAAAAACAGTTCAGATCGATGCCCAGCTACAGAAACCCAAACTATTGAAATATCACCTCGTAGAAAATTGACTACGATTTGCATTTTGCTAATGTTGGCGTAGGTCAGAATGTTATTTTTCTCTTTCTTCTCAATAATGTTTCATTGAAAGTAAATTCTACACCCTTTCACCAGTGAAAAGCCGCTCAGTGACCTGAATAAGATCGGGTGATAGAAAACATATTTTCAGTGATACTGAAGTCATTTTTCTGCCAGAACAAATTAGTCAGTAGCTATCGAGTATGTCACAGAGGTTTTCAAGAGGCACTTAGGAGGATGCTAAAAAAAAAAAAAAATTCTTCTATGTAGATTATTAAAAATGTCATGGTGCTAATGTAAGAACGCCGTGGTAACCTTTCTGTTTCACTCTTCTCTGTGAAAATACCATTTCTTGCTTGTAATTCTCCTAAAAGAGAAAATGTCATTTGAAAATGGTGGCAAGGAGAATGAGAAAGGAAATTTTATAATTTAAGCTGGAAAAGGCAAGATGGAGGGGTAATCAGATCACAGAGGCAAAGACACAGCTTGAGCTATTTCTCCAGACTTCCCATCCCCACCTAGAACTGAATAAAAAAAAGAGGACTTGGGCTGGATTTATAGGGAGCTTTCCTGAGAAGGAAGTGTGTTAAAAACAGATGAATGGATGTATAAATTAATGGGTGAATGGAAGGCTATGATCAAGGATTATCTTCCTTCAGCGCTCTTTGGCATTTGAGGAGAAAGCAGTTTACAGCACACACATAACATCTTGGGACCTCAGTGCCATTATAAAATAGAGCAGACAACTGCTACTTTTCTGGCCTGTTGAGACAACTAAATAAGATAATATGAAGAAAGCATCTAAAGTGATGTCTCGTCCATAATCATAGAAAACTAGGGTCATGTGTCAGGCCATGATGCATGTGTGTGGGGAGAGGGTAGCTAAATCCTGAAAATTCAGGCAGAAAGGCTGACTGTCTTTTATTGTGTAGCCTGGTCGTTATGTGACAGCATTCTTATCACAGCTTGCCAGCGAGGAAATAGGGACTCCCCAGCATCCCCTACAAGGTCTGTTCATTTTCTCATTCATAGAATTGATTGGGTGCTTGGAGGGACAATTTAGGCATTTCTCCCAACTCTGCTATAATTTGATATTAGATATGACCATAGAATTAACAGTTTAATATCAAAGTATTCTCTGGAATTTTGCAGGTTCCTTCTGGTTTCTACTCAATCTTAAAAGAGATTATTAGTAGTAGTACTTGTGATTTCACCATTTTAAATATTTACAGATGCTTAACTCTCAGTGAGATACTTCGACATTCTAACAGATTTCAACTCTAAGTATAAAACATTCCTTTGGGGACTTTTATTTTGCTCTGATAGTAAAAAAAACTTTCAAAGAATGTGACTTAAATCTAATTTCCAAATGAGATATCCTCCAG